CAGAGCTAGTTCCAGGACAGACAAAGATACGCAAAGAAACCCCTGTCTCTTGAAAAACCAAAATAAATACATACATATACATATACATACATAAATAAACCCATAACATTAAAAAAATTAAAAAAAACAATAAAAGCTGAACAAAAGACCTGATTAGCCCCCTGCATTGCTCACTTTGCTGCTGCATGGTAAAACACCATGACCAAAGCCATTTGTGGAAGGGTTTGTCTAGGCTTATGTTCCCATGAGGACATGAGTCCATCATGGCAGAAAATCACGGCAGCAAGGGTCAGGCATGGGAGCTGAGAGGTCACATGTTCAAACACAGGCAACAAGCAACAAGGAAGAGGAACTGGGTTGAGAATAGAAACACTCAAATCCCGCCCCTACGGATGTACTTCTGCCAGCAAGGCTCCACGCCCCACGGCTTTCATAACCTCCCACAACAGTGCCACTAACTGGGGCCAAATGTTCAAGTATGATTACCACACCCTGGCTTTATGTCACCAAGAATATTTGAATGCTTGGGACAGAACTGAAGATGGAGGAAAGTTAGTTTAGATTGATCGAGTTCTTCATTACCTAGTGCTAGAGGGCCTGAACATTTACCTTCTGAAGAGGCAAATTTGATGCCAATACTCTGGTGCAATTATCATTGCACCAGTGTCTAAGAGACCTTCAATAACAACGCCATTTATCAATAGCAACATCATTTATTTGTATTCTTAATTTTGGCCTGTGTCCATTTATATAAGTTTGTCAAAATATTTGCTTTATGCTTTCTCCTGAATTTTTTTCCTCTCTCCTACAGCGTTTCTATCATCCAGAACAGTATGGTTTCTTATAATAGGCATTAGGTTCTTTAATTGCTCTAGGAATGAGTTTCCTCCATGGTTACAGGAAATGACTGAACCAGATTCGACATGGGGACCTGCAAGAGGCCCCTCAAGGTGTTTCCCATGGCAAAGGGTTACCTTGACTGTCCTTTGTTGACCCACATTCATTAGTACAATGCCTGCCTTTGCCACACCTTCTGTATAATCCAGAAGGGAGGGGTGATGGGAGATGTCATTCTGTAAATATGTTTTTCTTATTGGTTAATGAATAAAGCACTGTTGGCCAATAGGAAAGCAAGATAGGCGGGACTAGGAGACAAGGAGGAAAGAGGAAGGAGTAAGGAGAGTCAAGATGGAGAGTCTGGGGAGACCAGATGCCGGCCCACTCCCCGGTAAGGTGAAACCACGTGGAAATATTAGATTAATAGAAATGGGTTAAAAATTAAGACAGAGCTAGCCGATAAGAAACTAGTACCTGGCCAACAGCTTTATATCAAATACAGAGTCTTGGTGTGTTAACTGGGGCTGGCGCAGCGGCGGGACAAGACCAGCGGCGGGCGGAAAAACCTTACTCCTTACAGAGGGGTGTTCTTTTGAATAATGTTTAGAAAAAACATTGTTTCTAGGAATGCTATTTACAATCCCTTTTGAGGTGACCTTGTTTGCCACAATTGAAACACTTGACATCTCATTTTTTTTCTTCAAACATCTGGAAATCAAGCAACTTCCAGACAACATGAGAAACAGCTGGCTGCCTGTACAATCACCCAAAGTTCCTCTGCAACTTTGAGGCACTCATCTTCGGGACATAGGCCTAGTATATCTGGCAGACTTTTCTGTGAAGCCGGATATTCAAAGGGGTGTCCAAACCTTGCCTTGGTAAAGTTCAGCAATCCTTTATTTTGTGTTCTGCTTATCCAATTTGGACAGCATACTGTGTCAGCACTGGAGGCAAGAGCCCTTGTTTGTACTTCCAACGTCTCAGGTAATATTATTTCCTTCTCAGGTCTCTGATGGAGCTGAAGACTTTATAGTTATACTTTTCCTTGTTACCGGATTCAGAAAAGAATTTCACACACAAAAAAGTAAAGTATATAGGGTTGAGAGACATAAAAAGATAGTTTTGATATGCAAGTTAGAATGGAAAGTAAATTAGGTACAACCTTTTGGACTCATCAATATAGAATAGATATGGAGTATTTTCTCTGAATTTTTCAATTACTAAGGAACTAGATGCTGTTGGTGTATTTATTGTCTGTATATATCATACATAGTTATTGTATTTAGCTTTTCTTATATTAATTACATTTTCTTATTTTAGACAAAAAAAGGGGGGGGAATGTGGTGATATTTTATTTGTACTCTAACAAATAAAGCTTGCCTGAAGATCAGAGGGCGGTGTTAACCACTAGTTAACCATAGAGGTCTGGAGGTCTGTAGAGAAAGACGGGAAGTGATATGGCTGGTCAGAGAGAGGGATAAAAGTCAGGAAGAGATAGGAGCTTGTCTCTTTTTGCCTGGGAAGTTGGTGAGGTAAGGTATGGCTGTGGCTTTCTCCTTTGTCTCTCTGATATTTCTGCTTTTACCCCTATATCTAACTCTGGGATTTTATTATTAAGACCAATTAGAATTGGTGCAACAGGATTGCCCACACAGGACCCCTAAGTATCATGAGGGCATTGCCCTCAGCAGCCTCAGAAGCACCAAGTAAAGAAAGACTTACTTTGAAGACATTGGTACAGATGGCTTTGTGTAATATAAAACCAAATTAGACACACAGAAGAACAGCCAAGTTTTTGAATTATATCATTAAAATATCACCAATTTGTGCTGAAAAGTACAAAGACAGTAGAAAATTGGAAAACAAAATTTTAGATCCCCAAACCTCTACAAAAGGAAACATTAGAAAAGTCACCTGCTAGTAAAAGCTACCTTTCATTTGAAAAGGAAGTGTGATTATGAGGACAGAAGCCACAAGAACCCAGAGAACTGAACCAAAAAGAATCATACACAGCCTTTGGCTATTATCAAGGAACTGGCCCTGCTGGGTTTCATACAAACTATTCTTAGTGACAACTGTGTGCATCCATCTCCTCCCACTTTGGGAGTATCTACAGGAGTTACCCTATGCTTGCTCTAATAATATATGTTGGACTTTCAAGCCAAGAACTCTACTCAAGGGATGGCACGATGGCTCAGTGGCTGAAAGAAGTTGCCATGCAAGCCCTACAACCTGAGCTCAAACCACAGAACCTATAGTGGAAAGAAAGAACTGACTTCTGAAAGTTGTCCCCTGATCTCCACACTGATACCTGAATATGCTCACATGGTAGGTAATTCTTGTTTTAGCTTTTCGGAGACAGGCAACAGAGATTTTGATCCAAACTGTTTATTTATTTAAAAAAATTATTTTATTTTTTATGTATAAAGTTATCATTAACTCCATACATGTATCTAATCTATCTTTAGGGAAACATTTTAGATTTATCTTATGTGCATGAGTGTATTGTTCACGTGTCTAACAGTGCAACACATGTGTGCCTGGTACTCTCGGATGTCCGAAGAGGGCATTGGACCCCCCTGGAACTGGAGTTTTGGATGGTTGTGAGCTGCCACGAGGGGGCTGGGAATCAAATCCGGGACTCTGCAAGAGCAGCCAGTGCTCTTAACCACTGAGCCATCTGTCCAGCCCCTCTCCAATGAATCTGATCCTATCCAACTAAAATTCCCCCTCCCACTTCTCAGTCCCTCAAAACTCCGTCCTTACCTTCAAATCCTTCTTTTACTTACTTTAACATTTATCAAGTACATATTTTTACATATGTAAGATATGTAAAATACAAGGAACGCTTTATCCTTGAGCAGAAGCCGCGTTCTCTTTGTATTGTTTCAATTTCTGTATGTGTGTTGCTAGAGTGTATTGAACTACAAACACATAAACCAGGCTTCTACACATCAACATGGAGAGGTCACAGGGAGTTCTTCAGTGAGGGTGTAGAGCTTGTTATAAAACAGGGTCGTTTGAAGAAATGCCGAAAGGTGCTTAGGTCACTAAGGTCAGGAACCCACGAAGTCCAGCACCCACAAGTTCTCTCTCCCTCGACCATATAAATAACGGGGTAAAGACAAAGGCAGCCTCTGTGTCCACTCCCCCACTGGCTTAGGAGTAGGAAGCAGAGCAAGACCGAGCAGGAACGCGTCTGCTTGGCTGGGAAGATGTGTCTTAAAGGCAGAAAGGGAGATGCAGTGACTCACAACGCGGTAATTAAACATGTGGAGGCAAGTTCCACTCAACTCTTTCCCGCAGGTGTTCAAGAGCAAGATCGGTTAGTGGAACTTTGTAATCCTGGAGTTGGGAGGAGCCTCTTGCTGCCATGGAACTCTGTCTTCAAACAAAAGATCCACAGAGCCCAAATAACCACCACCCCCCCAAAGCAAGGCCGCACTGGTTGTGGGTGAAGGGAAGGCAGAAACTTTAAAATGTCATCGTGGAAGACAACGTTCTTATTTTTATCACAGAGAGGCCAAAACAGTGGTCATAAGGAAGTTAAGTGTCCCAAACGGAAGGGGTCTTAGCTGTAAAGAGATTGTGGGTCTTCAGAGACGAGAACAGGGACAGTGACTTTTAGGGACGAAGAAAGGGGCCTTGGATAGAAAGATTTATGGAAATGCTCTTCGAAATCACCCCCAGCGTACACCAGGTGGCGTGCGCGCCCGACTTGTGGAAGGATCTGGTTTTTCTGATGGATCCAACAGACTCACTGGGTTGCGGCCTTACAAGATGTAATAGGTATCATCACGTTCAGTGCCACAACCGCCACCTCTTGCGCGGCTCAACCGCTTCACTTCCCACTCCACTCTAGCTGTCGAAGTGGCCTTACCACGCTGAACTTTCCAGAAAGGGCGAGGCGCGCTTTCTTACAACAAAGACGATCAGAGCTTCCCAAGGGGCCTGCTGAGCAGGAGGGCTAAGCCGCAGGTGCTTCCAGGCTTGGATTCCACTGCTCGATGAGTACGTCCCTGAGCCTGGGTTTCCGTTTATCCAGAGATGTGCAAGCATCGACGGCGACCAGCTCGCCCGCTTTGCTCCGCCCTCCCCCGCGGCGGTTGCGCAGGCGCAGGCTCAGTCGCGGCGCGGCGCGGCGCGGCGTGCGCGGTTGCTAGGCGACGCGACGGCTCCCGCGCGGTCTCCTTGCGGGCGGCGCGAGCCGAGAGCGGAGCCGCGGCTCGTAGCGAGGCCGGGAGGCGCGGTGCTGGTGGCGACCGCCCCGGCCAACCGCCGCCGCTGTGCCCGCGGGGCGAGCTCGCGATGGGAGGTGCAGCCCGCGGGCGCGGGAGGAAGGACGCGGCGCTGCCGGGGGCCGGGCTCCCGCCGCAGCAGCGGAGGTAACGGCGCCCGGCTGGGAGCCGGGCGAGTCCTTGCGGGTCCCGGGCTGTCTGTCCATCAGCGCGGTGAACGGGAAGGGCGGGGGCGGCGGGCGGCGCAGGCTCCCGGGAGCCGGGGCTGGGAGCACGCCGGGGGACCTGCGCGCACGACCGGACCGCCCTGTGAGCCGCGCCCTGTTGCTCCCAGCGAGAGACCAGCAGCGGGGCTCGGGGCGCTTGCTCCCCACAAGTCTAATGTCTTTGTGGGGGCCCCCTGTTTTCGCACCCAGCCCTGGGCGAGGACCCTTTCGGGCTATTCGCATCTGGTTGTTGCTCTGCAGATGCGGTGCTGGACCATGTGGGGGTTTTTTGTTTGTTTGTTTCCATCGTGCTGGGGCTGAGGCCAGTCCCGTCCAAAAAAATGTCTTCTGTTATTTTGAGACATTGTCTGAACGTGAACATGATCTTCTTAAGATGTTTCTTTTTTTTTTTTTTTGGAGTGTGTATTTTCAAGCCCCCCCTTTTATTCCCGTAATGCCTCAGTTAAACTCCAGAACTAATTTTATTAGACAGATCTTAAAAATGACTGAAACATTATTATTAAAAAAAAATTTTTTTTAAAGGCAATGAAAAATGTTACCTAGTCATGATTGTGTTCGTAGCACACATATCATTTGAGATGAGAGCGTGCAACGGTGATGTGTGCGATCGGGAAATCCATAGTCTCGGTAGCATATAAAATGTGTTGTTCAAGGCCATCTTGTGGATCCTGCCCACTGTTTGTGTGACTTCACAGTGGCGGATTCACAGTGTAAGGACAGACTGGATCTTTACTCCTGTAGCATTTTAAACGTCCCCCCGTCTTCCGGGAAATATGAAGTGCAGAACAGAAGATTCAGTACATTTTGTAACTTAAAGCATCCAGCTGCTGTTGGCTGTCTTTTTCACAAGTTAGGTTAGCTGTTAGTAGGTCTGTAGGTAAATAAGACCACCCTAAAGGTTTCTTGCTTTAGAGAGAGAGACCTTTTCTTCCTGTGAGCCAGTTTAGAGGGGAAGGCAGCACCAGGTTGAGCTGAGATTAGAATCCAAGTCGGGAGACAACAAACACCTCTGCTATGTTGATTCTCTTCTGATTTCTGGTTTCCTATTCAAATTGCCTTTCATTTTCAAGTAGTATGTTGACCTATGGCTGGCTCCTCATTCTTTTTACAACATTGAGAAAGTAAGATTTGTTGTAACTTTTTTTTTTTTTTAACTTATTGTTTTGTTAGAGACAGGGCCGCTTTATTTTGTAGCTGTGGTTACCCTGGAACTCACGATGTAGATCAGGCTGGCCTTGAACTCACAGAAATCCACCTGCCCCTGTCACCTGAGTGCTGGGGTCAAAGGCATGCACCACGGTCACACCCAGCCTCCTGTAACTGCTTTAAAATTCGAGTCTAGAAACAGTTTCATTTCTTTGAAAAGAAGAAAGGAAGCAAGAGAGGTGGGCAGGCGGATCTCTGTGAGTTCGAGGCCAGCCTGGTCTACAGAGCGAGTTCCAGGCCAGCCAGGGCTTTGTAATTAACTTTTAAAAAATCGTAATAGAGGGGCTGGAGAGATGGCTAAGGCAGTAAAGGTCAGGCTCCCAGCCAAAACTATGAAAATGGAAAAGAAAGGTTGGGATCCTTCTGTTCCACTGCCCAATGCTCGCTCGTTTGTGTGCAGTGTCAGAAGGGGTAAGGGACCGTTAAGGCCTGGGGTGTTTTGAAACTGCAAGCTCACTTTGCCTAGTTACTGACCGGTTTTATCTGTAACCCAACTAGGTTGGGGGATGGTGTCTATGATACCTTCATGATGATAGATGAGACCAAGTGCCAACCCTGTTCAAACACACTCTGCAATCCTTCTGAGGCACCTCTCGCCCGAAGACTAAATGTAAGTAATGAAGGAATGCTCTCAAGATTGTCTGGAGGAAGAGGAAGGGCTGCGGAATGTCCGGGTGCAGTTACACATTGCCGGCAGCACCGACTTCCTTTTCTCGTGGTGGTTTCTTTCTTTTGTTTTGAGGTTGGATTTTGTGGGGGGAGGGGTGTTTCTTTAAGTTTTTAAAATTTTGTTGTGTGTGTGTGTGTGTTTTTTGTTTTGTTTTGTTTTGTTTTGGACACGGAGTCTCAGTATTCAGTCTCAGTATTCAGTCCTGCCTGGCTTGACACTGATAGGTAGACCAGGCAGGATTCAAACAGTGATGCACCTGCCCCTGTCTCCAGAGTGCTGGTATAAGATGGGTATGCCACTGCGCCTGCCCGGTTCCCTTTTGATGTCTTCTGACTTGAGACACAGTCTTGTGGTTGGAGTTCAGCTTTTTGGAACAGTTTTGAAATCCACCCCTCCCTTACACGTTTTACTGGGGTAAATGTGTGTGTGTGTGTGTGTGTGTGTGTATGGGGGGATCCTCTTGTTTAGCTGATGATTCTTTTTATAGCAGACGGGATATGTATGTAGAGTATTAGAAATGCTTCTTTTAACAGACAAACCACGGAAAATATGTCAGAATTAATAATCACCTCAGGTTTCCTTTTGGGTCCTGGCCAAACAGTATATGAAAGACAGCTGGGTTTTTGTTTGTTTTTTACTCATAGATTAAGCTGAAATAATACAGGTTGGGTTTGTTTGTTTTGGTTTTTCAAAACAGGGTTTCTCTGTTTCGCTTTGGAGCCTGTCCTGGAACTCTCTCTGTAGACCAGGCTGGCCTAGAACTCACAGAGTTCCGCCTGCCTCTGCCTCCCAAGTGCTGGGATCAAAGGCGTGCACCACCACCACCACCCTGCTACAGTTTGGGTTTGATGCATTCAGATCTTTTTAGCAAGTCAGACCCTTAGCTTTGGACACTGTTTGGTTTAAGGTAATAATGAGAAGATTTCACAGTCCATCCACATAAGAGTAGTAGAGTCTGGACAAGTTCCAAGGCAAGGAGTCTGTCTGACTTGAAACTGTGCTGCAATGTGTCATCTACTGAACCCTCTGAGGACCTCAGGTGACCCGTTTGCACTTACTGCTCGGCAGTTGTTCCTTTCTTATTTTACTTTGTAACTTGACTTTTAAAATACTGCTTTTATATATTTGTGCATGTTTTGTGGTGTGGTCCGTGTGCCCTCACATGCAGGCAAACGCTAGAGTACCCGTGTGCCCTCACATGCATCAGACTTGGCAGCGAGTGCCCTTGCCTGCTAAGCCATCTTGTTAGCAGCAGGACGAGAGTGACACGGTCCTGGCTCGAGCATCCGAACCCTCAAAGCCCATGCCCAGTAACACATCTTATACAACATGGCCACACCTCCTAATAGTGCCACTCCCTATGGGCCTGTGGGGACCATTTTCATTCAAACCGCAATAGCTCTAGATTGAGAAAAAAAAAATAATGGAAGGAATGTTTTATTATAGCACAGAAGGCTTCGTATATAATTGACTCTTCCCAGGGTTTGAGATTTATAAGAAAGCGAAGCATGGCAAGGAAAGATCCACTTCCTGCGTGGAAAAATCCTTGATTGGAATTCCCCATTTTCCGGAGATAGGAACTTTGATGATCTTTAGTAGACTACATCTGAGCTATATACTGTCCTAGAAACCACACTTCATGAAAGGCACACCTTGTGTCCCAAAGAGTGTGAACTTGGAGAGTGTGAACTAGAGAGTGTGGACTGGGAGAGTGTGAACTGGAGAGTGTGAATTGGGAGAGAGTGGACTGGGAGAGTGCGAACTGGGAGAGAGTGGACTGGGAGAGTGTGGACTGGAGAGTATGAATTGGGAGAGTGCGAACTGGAGAGTGGACTGGGAGAGTGTGAACTGGAGAGTGTGGACTAGAGAGAGTGGACTGGGAAAGTGTGAACTGGAGAGTGGACTGGGAGAGTGTGAACTGGAGAGTGTGGACTGGGAGAGTGTGGACTGGGAGAGTGTGGACTGGAGAGTGTGAACTGGAGAGTGTGAACTGGGAGAGAGTGGACTGGGAGAGTGTGAACTGGAGAGTGTGGACTGGGAGAGTGTGAACTGGGAGAGTGTGAACTGGGAGAGTGTGGACTGGGAGAGTGTGGACTGGGAGAGTGTGAACTGGAGAGTGTGGACTAGAGAGAGTGGACTGGGAAAGTGTGAACTGGAGAGTGGACTGGGAGAGTGTGAACTGGAGAGTGTGGACTGGGAGAGTGTGGACTGGGAGAGTGTGAACTGGAGAGTGTGGACTGGGAGAGTGTGAACTGGAGAGTGTGAACTGGAGAGTGGACTGGGAGAGTGTGAACTGGAGAGTGTGAACAAGGTGATGAGAGAGCCTGGTAGGCTCAGGTGAGGTGGGAGAGGGATGAGGATGGTGCCTGCAGAAGTATCAGAGGGCCAAGGACAGGACAGCCCTGTGTACATTTCCAGGGACTTTCACAGGAAACGTGGCCATGGCTGGGAAATTCTTGATGGTTAAATAGCACTTAATTTGCAGAGAGCAAGTGAGGACAGAAAAACCGGAGTCGCGAGATCCCAGTGGCATTCTCAGTTTTGTTAAACAGAAATCTGTGGAAGTCAGACCTCTATTAAAAACCTGTTCTTGGGAGTGTATGTGCCTGAGGCCCCTCTCTTTGTCACACACAGTGTGACCTTGAGAGTCTTCCACTAGGCAGAGGGATCCCCAGGGACAGATCCAGGACCGCATGCTGATGATGACTCCTGGAGAGCCGTTCCTTTGCGTCAAGGCAGTGGTTTTGTGTTAAAGTTGGACTAACCCTGGAAAGATGAACACAACACATTGGATAGCAAGCCGAAGGCAGGGTTTGCGGGAGGGAGAAAGAGGGTTAGGTGTGCTTCCATGCTAAACCTTACTGCTGGGTCCTTCTTTGCCAGATGTTCAGTAGAGAGAGCCTGTAATGTGCAGGGAAGCCACCACAGGTAGAAGAGAAAATCAACACGGGGAAAGGGAGAGAGGCCACATACTGAGACATTTTACATGGTGGTAGCCAGTGTTTTGAGTGTTTTATAGTTTGTGAGAGAGAGTCTTTCGTGTTTTGATTATGGTTTGATTCTCACAACATCTACAAATAGGAATTATCCACATTTTATAAACCAAGAAACTGAAGTTGTGACAAGTTCAAGTAATAGTGCCAGGCCCTAGAGCCAGGTACTACAGCCAGGGCCTCAGCACAGACCTTCTGACTTTGTATGCATCTACAGTGTACTCCAAAGACGTTAGCAGTAAACATTCAGCACAGACCTTCTGACTTTGTATGCATCTACAGTGTACTCCAAAGACGTTAGCAGTAAACATTCAGCACAGACCTTCTGACTTTGTATGCATCTACAGTGTACTCCAAAGACGTTAGCAGTAAACATTCAGCACAGACCTTCTGACTTTGTATGCATCTACAGTGTACTCCAAAGACGTTAGCAGTAAACATTCAGGTGTGTTGAAATTAGCTAGTACACGACTTAAGGAAAATTGATCAAGTTGCATGCAGATAATAATTTTTAGTATTATTCTTTGCCTCGCTCAGCCTTATAGATAGAGTAAACTTGATAGAGTGCTTGCTGTTTAGTGTGGGTACCGAGTAGTGAGCAGTGGACGTTCTGGTGAGTGTGGGGTGGATGGAAGGGAGTGGAGAGGGAACGAACTGGTTTTTCGTTTTCAAAAGTATGCTGACTGCGTGGATAAAGGTTCTTATCGCCAGGCCGGAGTTCAGGCCCTGGGAGTTGTATGGTAGGAGAGAACTGGCTTCTGGAAAGTTGTTCTCTGACTGCCACATGGATGTTGCCCCCCCCCCCGTGAGAAATAAGTATAATAAGAAGTGTGAGACTAACTAGTGTAGTTCTGTAGCGAGAAGACTGAAGTTGGTTCTTGACAGTCTTCTATAGGATACATGAGTGAGTGAGGAGAGTAAAGGAGGCTCAGTTCAAAGGCCTAAGAGAAGGAAGGTAGCATGTTGAAGTCACCCTGTCTTGAGCAGAGCTGGTCACATGTGGGATCTGGGGATTGGGTGTATTCAGGGAATCCAGGGATTGATGGAATGCACCTCCAGAGACTGGTCACTTCTTATTTCCTATATGGGGCTTTGCTTTCTTTTTTTCCTCTGTCTATATAGGCATGAGTGTGATATATGTATATGGAGTGTGTGTGTGCAAATAAATGCATGAGCCTGTATGTACACACTTTCAGAGACCAGAGGAGAATGTCACTTATATTGCTCTAACATTCCCCACCATATTCCTTTGACACAGGGTCTCTCACTGAATCTGGAACTAGCCTGGGTGTCCCTCTCTGCCCCCCACAGCATTGGGGTTACAGGCCCACGGGCAACTTTTTGCATAGGTATCCAAACTCAGCTTCTCATTCTTGCATAGCAATTGCTCCTACTACTGAGCCACCTCTCTAGTCCCCTCCTTGGGTCTTCAGACTTTACATTAAAAGTGGCTGACCTGTTTTGATGTTGTTTAGTTAGCCTTTCTGTTTAGTTGCCTTTCTGCTGTTTCTAGTGCAGTTAACAGCGCACGTTTCTCTTCTGTAGAGTACCACTGAGCCACTGAGCAGAGATCGCACCCAGCACTTCGTCAATGGAAACGAGATGAAGGTAGAGCAGCTGTTTCAAGAATTTGGCAACAGGAGATCCAATACTCTTCAGTCGGACGGCATCAGCAACTCTGAGAAGTGCTCTCCTCTGGTTTCTCAGGGGAAGAGTTCGGAAAGCCTGAACGCGGTGAAATGCGGCAGTTTGTGCAAACCATCGAAAGTGCTGCCGCTGACTCCCGAGCAAGCCCTGAAGCAGCACAGACACCACCTCACTGCCTATGAGAAGCTGGAGATCATCAGTTACCCGGAAATCTACTTTGTGGGTCCAAATGCCAAAAAGCGACAAGGAATTATCGGTGGTCCCAATAATGGGGGATATGATGATGCAGATGGAGCTTATATTCATGTGCCTCGAGACCATCTAGCTTACCGCTACGAGGTGCTGAAGATTATCGGCAAGGGGAGTTTTGGACAGGTAGCCCGTGTCTACGATCACAAACTTCGACAGTACGTGGCCCTAAAAATGGTACGCAATGAGAAACGCTTCCATCGCCAGGCAGCCGAGGAGATCCGGATTTTGGAGCATCTTAAAAAGCAAGATAAGACTGGCAGCATGAATGTTATCCACATGCTAGAAAGTTTCACCTTCCGGAACCACGTGTGCATGGCCTTTGAATTGCTAAGCATAGACCTGTATGAGCTCATTAAAAAAAACAAGTTTCAGGGTTTCAGCATCCAGTTGGTTCGCAAGTTTGCCCAGTCCATCCTGCAGTCCTTGGATGCTCTTCACAAAAATAAGATCATTCACTGTGACCTGAAGCCAGAAAACATTCTCCTGAAACACCACGGGCGCAGTGCAACCAAGGTCATTGACTTTGGGTCCAGCTGTTTCGAGTATCAGAAGCTTTACACCTATATCCAGTCTCGTTTCTACAGGGCTCCAGAAATCATCCTGGGGTGCCGCTACAGCACTCCGATCGACATATGGAGTTTCGGTTGCATCCTTGCAGAACTTTTGACAGGACAGCCTCTGTTTCCTGGAGAGGACGAAGGAGACCAGTTGGCCTGCATGATGGAGTTGCTAGGGATGCCACCACCAAAACTTCTGGAGCAATCCAAACGTGCCAAGTACTTTATTAACTCCAAGGGCTTGCCTCGATACTGCACCGTAACTACTCAGGCAGATGGGAGGGTTGTACTCCTGGGGGGTCGCTCTCGCAGGGGTAAGAAGCGGGGCCCCCCAGCCAGCAAAGACTGGGCAACAGCACTAAAGGGGTGTGAAGACTACTTGTTCATAGAGTTTCTGAAAAGATGTCTTCATTGGGACCCCTCTGCCCGCCTCACCCCGGCTCAAGCATTAAGGCATCCTTGGATTAGCAAGTCTGCACCCAGACCTCTCACCATGGACAAGGTGTCTGGGAAACGGGTAGGTAACCCTACCACTGCTTTCCAGGGACTGAGTTCCAAGCTGCCTCCAGTCGTTGGGATCGCCAGTAAGCTTAAAGCTAACCTAATGTCTGAAACCAGTGGTAGTATACCTCTGTGCAGTGTATTGCCAAAGCTGATTAGCTAATGGACCGCTTGGAGATGCAAACGTATGTATTTTTAGTTACCTTGCAAACGCGCAAATGGAAAAAAATGAAGCCCATTCATTGATGGATATGTTTTTTGTTAGACTAAACTTTTTTTTTTAACAAGGCAGAACATTTTTATATGACTATAAAAGAACTCTTCAAGGGCTAATTGTCTAACCAGCTTGTATTGGCCATCTGGAGTATACATTAAATGACTTTTTATAGGTCAGTGCATCTTCGTTGTTCTTGTCAGAGGTATCCCAACCCATGTATTACTCTCCTGTTTTAAATCTCTTTTATCTTTAAGATAGAAGACATTCTAAGAATAGATGCTATTTCTCACCTCTCATCTCCCTCAGCAACTATTTTGGAAGGTAGTTTGGGGTTGTGTTAGGCGTGCATGTAGAGTGAAGCTAGAATTCTTACCCCAACAAGCTATTCTGTGGGCTCATTCTAGGTGGAAAGATTAACTGGTGAATACCGGTGGCTGTCAGTCACCGGGCAGTTGTCACTGCATAGTGCTTTAGGGTTTGTCTTCATTATTTTGCCTCTGGTTCGTACCCTGGGTACTCAGAAGTTATACTTCACCAATAACCCTGTAGTACTGCTGTGCTTTGGTAGTTTCCCCGAAAGGCCAGTGTGTTAGAGGCTTGCTGGCCAGCACTGTGGGGGACCTTTAAGAGGTGGGCCTCAGTGGTAGGTGTTGGGTCATTGTGAGCGTGCTGTTAAAGAGGACTGTGGGGCCCTGGCCTCTTCCTCTTCCTCCTTTACCTCCTGGCCATCAGGTGAATATCTTTGCTCTGCTGTACACTCCATGGTGATTTGATGTCCCAGGCTTAGGACGACAGGGCAGGTCAGTCGATAGACTGAGGCCTCCGAAGCGAGTGCACAGTATTGCCTGCCCCTATGTTAAGTTCGTCATCTGCGGCGTCTGTTGCAGTAGTAAAAAGCCAGCTCATGCATCCTTCCTCTGCCGTCTCAAAAGAAGCTACGTTTATGGCACAAATGACCCAGAGGCAAAGGTAAGAGTCTGCACGAAAACTACAGTCCCCTCTTTGGTCGCCAGTGGCCGGAGTGCTCGCTGCCTTGTCCTGGACTGTGGATTTGATGAAGGTGGCCGCTGTCAGGTAAGCTCGCAGCAAAGTCAGTGCCTTGTGCACCTTAGCCTTCCCTTTGAACTTCACCCCTCCCTGGATGCTTAGTGGACTCTGGTTATAAGAAGGAAACGACTTGAAGGTCCAGAAATACGATCATCTGTTTCCCTGCTTGTGTTCTTTCAGCCGTCTTCCTTGTTCTCTGAGGTCTAAAGTCAAGTGGCGAAAGCCGGTAGTGCCTGTGACTGCTGGCCATAGGTCTCACTGGGCCAGTGCACAGGGGACAGGAGCTGAGGAACGCGCTGCTGCTGTTTTTTGTATTAGTTTTGCCGTCCCGTCTGTTTCCTTGGCCCTTGGGAACAGATGTATCTGACCGTCAAGTGCAACCCTATGCCTCAGAGCAGTGTTTCTCAACCTGTGGGTTCCGACCCCTTTGTGGGGTACAGAATGACTCTTTCACGGGGGTCACCTAAGACCTTCGGAAAACACAGATATTCACATCATGATTCATAACAGTAGCAAACTTAGAGTTATAAACTGGCAAGGAAAATAATATTATGGTTGGGGGTCACCACAGCGTGAGGAACTGCATTAAATAAAGGCTTGGGAAGCCTGAGAACCTCTGCCCCAGAGGCACGGTATTGCCTTCTGCTGTGTCCTGGAGTGACCCCAGTTCAATTTTCCCATCACCAAGGCTGGAGGCAGGTGTAAAGGAAGGAACTGTTGATACTTTGGGCACTGGGTGGTTCATGCTCTGTCTGCTTTACTCCTGGCCTACGGAAGGCAACCCACAGCTCCCCGTGACTCCGGCTGGCTCCTCTGACTTGCTAGAGAAAGTCAGTCTCCTGCGTTATCTCCACTGAGCACACGTTGAGGTCGTTTTGCCTGTTATCAGTGTGGAAGACCTGCTCTCCCCAAGCAGGCAGTTGAAAGAGTGACTACCCTAAGGGACACTTGGGGTTTTGATGTTTGTTTGCGTGAGCAGTCTTCGGCAGCCAGCACAGACAGGCTCTGACATTTAGAAAGGAAGCTACAGCAGCGGCTGTCCTGTGCCCTTCCTGTGTGATGAGTGGACTGGGAGCGAAGGTTACAGAGGGTTCATGCATTATGCAGAGGACAGAGAGCTCTAAAAAGGTGAATGGACCCACTTCTGCCAAAACTTGGCAACCAGCAGCATGAAACGCAGCAGAGTCATTGCGCTGGCCAGGCAGCCTCCTGCAGTGACTCAGATGTGGGGAAAGCAGGCTGTTTTTCAACACAGAGCTGGCTTTGATGACGAATCTGAGGACATTTGCAATTGCTCTGCCCCCGAGACCCCTGTCCAGCCACAGCAGTGAGGGACCAGGTCTTACATTGCCGGATTGTCCTCTGTCAATTTTCGTTGCGGCCGTTTAGTTGAACAGATCAAGTTGGTTGCCTTCCTGATTCCTAAACGGACAGAAATCAATTCAGTCTCCACATTGTTATCAGCATGGTAAAAGGATTCAGTCGGAACTTGTTTTGCTGTTTCTGAAATACTTTTTTTTTCTTTTTACATGGGAATTGGCTATCGCCTACTTGGTGGTCTGATTAGATTGCTCCTGCTCTCTCTTAGGTGCTGTTGGGATTTCTCTATGGCATGCATGCGAGTCTGACAAGAGAGTCTTGCACATGTACAGACCATACACATTCATCTTCCTCCATGAATGGGCTCACTTCTCAGTTCAACCACACACCCAGATGTCTTCTTTGGAAGATAGGGCAATCAGATAAGAGTTACGTGGGGACACTTTATTCTTGTAGGCACAATTAGCTAGGTAATAATAAAAAGGGAAATACAAATCTGGGCGGTGGTGGCACAAACCTTTAATCCCAGCACTCAGGAGACAGAGACAGGAAGATCTCTGTGAGTTCAAGGACACCCTGGTCTACAGAGTGAGTTCCAGGACAGCTAGGGTTACACAGAGAAACCCTGTCTGAGAAAAATCAAAGCCAAACCAAAACAAAAAACCAATAAAGCTTTATGTATTATACCTACCTCTGTGGGTATGTGTTCCTGAGTGCAGGTGCCTGTAGTGACCAGAAGTTTCAGATCCCCTGGAGCTGGAGTTAGAGGTATTTGTAAGGTACTTACTGGGCATGGGTGTTGGTAACAGAACTTTAGTGTCCTTAAATGCCTTTAATCCCAGCAGTCAGGAGGCAGAGGCAGGTGCATCTCTGAGTCTGAGCTTAGCCACTGTGTTATCGGCCCCTTAAGTCCTTGTTCTGCGTGTGTTATCTGTGCCATTAGCAGAAAGGTGACAACCGTTCTACAAGGCCCCCATGTGCCTTATTTCCTCTGGGAATTAGAGATAAGCACACACCCATTCATGTCTTCCCATCCTCAGCGTCCCCAGAGATGAGGAGTCTGTAAATGCTGTACCATCTTGTACACAGAGCAAGTGTAGCTGGACAAGGTAGAGAAAAACCTGGATCCTCTCCACGTACAGAGTGAGAAAGCCACAGGCTGCAAGTTAAGGAAGAGTTGTCCCTTAGCAGGGACCGGCTTCCTACGTTTCAAAAATACCTTTCCATATCCTCATTTTAACCCATCCCTCTTGAGACTCTTACACTTCCTGGAGCCCAGAAATTTTAAAGGGTTTTCTTTCCCGACCTGATTAGAGGCGACCCCTTTCTAGCGGTCTGTTGAGTTGCATTTACTAATTTCAAAGTGAAAAATTTCAAGTCATAGTGAACTCGGTGGTCTCTGAGATCCGTACCCCTGAGACAGATAAATCAGACCAGAAGTAGTGTTTATAGCAGGGGTTCTCAACCTGTGGGTCGAGACCCCTCCAGGGGTCAGAAGACCCTTTCACAGGGGTCACCTATGACCATCTGCATGTCAGTTATTTACCACTGTGGTTCTAACCTTCCTAATGCTGCCACCCCTTAATACAGCTCCTCACATTGTGGTGACCCCACCAACCAAAAATAATTTTCATCGCCTCTTCATAATTGCAACTTTGCTATTGTTATGAATCATAAAACAAATACCTGATAGGCAGGATGCATGACATCTGACCCCCCCCAAAGGGGTTGTGACCCCCACCCCCCCAGTTTGAGAATCACTGGTCCAGATGGAGACAAGCCAGTATGTCTCTAGCAACTCACTGCTCAGCCCCGTCTGCCTGAGCAGAGAAGACTTAGAAACGTGTTCATTCCCTTTACCACCACGAAGATAGAACACAGAGAACGTTGGAGCCGTAAAGGAGGCCAAGTGGCGATCTGCGGCCGCTTGGCCTCTGAACTCAGCCTTTGCAGTGTCCAGTTGGGACCACTCTGTCATCATAGTATTCTTCCATTGTTCATCTGGCCCGCTGACTGCTTCCGGAAAATGCAGCTTGGAGGGATGACTCATCGTTGCCTCTATCCAGGTGTTTCTGTTTTCTTATTTGGGGTAGTGGCAGTGGTTGTTTTATTTAAAACCTGAGTTGCTTTGAGAATGTTCTAGTCCCTCACAGTTCTTTCAAAGTCAACACAGCGTGGACACTCAAGCTCTCCAGTGACCTGTGGGGCTGGGGAGGGGCGCGGAGAAGAGCCATGCTGTGTCAGGTGTAACCTCTGGCAAATGCCGTGATAAAGTGCTAGTCAAAGGAAAGCAGAGCATTAAAAAGGAGAAAAGAGGCCTTGAAGAGACTCAGCCCATGTGCCTGTCAGTGCTCAGAGCTGCCGTGGAAACACGGGTTCAGTGTTTGTGGGTAACCGGCCCTTGGGGACCCCGGACTTTCCCTTCCCCTGGAACCATCACACAAGCCAGGCATAGTTCACAGCTGAGGCCTGGCAAACAGCTTCAAGAAAGCAGTGTGTCTGGAACCCTGGCTCAATTTTTAAACCCTGAGCACCGAACACGGGGCAGGCACCGAACACGGGGCAGGAGAGGGGAACCTGCGTTTAGGGGGGCTGCAGGCAGCTGTGCTTCAGCCTGCTTCTGTGATCCGAGCCACACTATTGTCCCGGCAACAGAAGCTGATTCGGGGGATGAACAGAGAAACTGCTTTTTGCTGCCTTTGAATCTTCCCTCGGCTTTCTTCCTTGTCAGAGGCTGGCGGAGCTGGACGTGGGCCTGGGACTGAATGCCAGAGAAACCAAATGCTGCTAGGTCAGGCATATTTCAAAG